GTGGGAAAGAGTAAAACCTGAGCAATCAGATCACCAGGTTCAATTACCCATGTCAGTGGAACACATTGCAGCTGATATTTCTTGATAACAACCACTATTTATTACATTAGGAATTACAGTAAGTCCTTTAATAACTGAGCTTGATTTTCTAATAACTAATCCCATGGTGCCTTCTGGCAGTGGCCCTTAGATTCCAGTGGAAATTAAAACTGGTTTCTCCCCACTACCCCAATAAATGAATGCTGGAAGCTGCTGGTAAATCTGATGTTGCACTCTGGGTAGCTCCTTGCAGGAGGGATTTAACGTCAGGCCTTGTACTCACCCTGTCAGAGGAAGTATGTTTGTTTGGTTTGGACCAGATGCAACTGGTTCAGTTGTGCATGGAATAGCAGGACACTGTTTGATATTGTCCTTGAGTTTGTTCCTGGCCCCAAAGAAGTGCTAATTCTCTGTTTCCCTGAAGTAGCATTGTGCCACCCTTACAAAATCTAGACATACAGTCTTTTGCCCAGTGAAAACCTTACATGCAACATGGGTACAGATTACATGGTCATTCTTTGGGGGGTACCAGGGATTGAACTCACAAGCCTCCTGCTTTGCCAGGCAGGTGCTTCTGCCACTGAGCTAAATCCTGGCCCTACATGGTAAGTTTGAGCCTGGTCTAGTAACATGCATAGATGAGGGAAGTGGTACCTTTATAAGCTTTGGGAAGAATTGGTGAGTGTGTCCTTGATTGCCACAACTAGAACATTTGGTCATAGGAGCCTCTTGGGCAAGATGTTGGGGTACAGCCTGTGCCATGAGTGCAGAAGCGTGAGTCATAGTATTCTGGCCTGCTTGTGTGGAAGCAGGGAAGTCTTTACTGTGAAGCACGGAGGCTAAAGCTCACTTACACTCCTCACCTCCATTCTCGTATGCTTTTTTTTTTTTTTTTTTTGTCTTTTTCATTTTTTTACCGGTACCGGGGATCGAACTCACGACTGCCTGCTTGCAAGGCAGGCGCTTATGCCGCTGAGCTAAATCCCCAGCCCCCCATTCTCATATGCTAATTGATGAAGTAATTTAGCTGCGTCGTCATAAGAAATCTGTCTATTTATAGCCTCTTGCAGTCTAGCTACAAACTGGCTACAAGTTTATGCAGGACTTTGGAGTATCTGGGTAAATGGCTTTTTAGGTGTACCATCTCCTGGGACAGAAGTCCATGCTCAAGTGTAGCAGTTCTTTGCACTGTGTGAAAAGGTGGAGTGGAATGCTGCTTGAACCTTTAAGTCAGCATATCTGCCCGTGCCAGATAACATTTCCTAATAGCTTGTGAGTTTTTATCCTCGCTATCTTGATTATTCTGAGCTTGTTCTGAAATGAGTGGTTTTAAATGTGATTCAAAATGCAGGCATTGTGCTGATGATACACATGTGAGTGGGATGGTCCATCACCTGGCATCATTTGGAAGCCTTGCATTATGGTATCTAAGCAACCAAGAGTACATGGACCCTGCACTCCATCAAGCATGCTCTGCCTCAATTCTTTCAAGAGTAACGGGTTAAAACCTGCATGCATATTACATTTATGAGCTGGGTTTTCCAGATCTGCCTCTTCTATGACTGGCAAGCGTTAAGGCCTGTGGACAGAGTCTCGTGTCACTATGCTTTGGCTTCCCTGGGGGAAGGGAAGGAGGAGAATCATTTCTGATCTGAGTCCTTGGTGTGGGGGAGGAAGGCACTGTAGGAAGCACAGCAGCAGAAGGGTTATTTTCCAAATAGGGTGCAGAGAATGAATCTGATCCTGTGGGTAAATTGGAAAAGTTTCATATTTCACTATGAATATCTTGCAAAAGTGAATATATCTGATTATCCATGTTTTTAAACACGATAATAAGACTGCCAATGGGTTGCTAGAGAAAAATGAAGCATATTTTTTAAATATGGAAAATAAAAAAGAGACAAGTTTAGTAATACATGAGCGGATGGAAATCAGTGTCTCTAGATAGGTCCTCTGCCAACACTTAAAACAGTCACTGTTTGTTAGGTGTACACAGTGATAAGTGGTGTATGGAAAGATCTAATTCAGTGGAAGACTCAGACTCAAAACTGGCTTATATGGTCAAATGCGAAGAAGGATCTTGGCCTGGAGTGTAATCGGGGTGACTCAAGAAGGTGTGGATGATCTTACACGAAGAGGAGTCAATTAGAATCCTCAGATGAGTGGTACTGATAATCCTAATCCACTTTCTCCCTTAGGGAAGTGGCCAGATTAGCCATTGTGAATCTGTAGCCCACAACATGAGAACAAATATGACTCCCTTGTGGTAATCTGTTGCAGAAGCCCCAGTAATCTAACAGATATTTAAAAAAAAAAAAAAAAAAAAAGAGGATCAAAGACGAAGGGGCAGGAGTGAGCAGGTGTCTGCAAAGCTATACATCTTTTACTGTATTTACTTCCACAGTGCTGTCTGTGCTCTCCACTCTGATAAAATCATGTGACTCGAGTTAATTTCCAGTTCCCAGAGATCCTTTAGGGCAGGTCAAAATTCCTAGCAAGGGCCTTCTGCATAGCAGCGCAGCTGTAGATGTGAGAGGATGGGAAAATAAAGAAAAGAGAGGCAAGCTGAGGTCAGGTGGAGCTCTCTGTTCCCTGGGGGAGAAAGGAACGCCCAACCACCATAGCACCTTTATTTACACACTGAGGAGGAGGATGTCAATTTCAAATCCTCTGCCTAGCAACCTGTTTGTCTGGATGGCCTGAGCCCCTTCCCTTCTTGGAGCTGGAAAAAATTGTTTACCTGGCTTGCTTTGGTCTCTGTTTCCAGTGCTGGCCTGCTCTAGCCCCACAAGTGTGATCAATCTCCACCTTCAGCCGCTCCCTACACTGTTGCAGGCTTCGCTACAATCCTGCAGATCAGATGCTGTTGACTTTGCCTTAAGAGGCAGCATGTAAAGTTTTCTGTGACAGACTGTGAGCTGGGCTAGGTGCTGATGGGTCAGCCTGAGGCTTAGCTATCTCTAACACGGCATCTACCCAACATGGCATTGGGCCTGAAAAACTGCAGCGTATCTCTCCAAAACTAACTTGTGTTCTTTTTCTAGTTCCAAAAATAAACCTCCCATTCTTTTCACACGTGCGCCAAGTCCTCTCCAATCCCAAGACTCGAAAACCACCCAACCACCCAACTCCATATAAGCCTTTCACCAGCTACCCCTTTTCTGGGGGGTCCTCATAGTCTCCAGCAGTCCTCCCACACCCACAATAAAGGCTTTTTAAAAAAAAATCTCTTAATTGTGCAAAAAACCAAAAAAACCCTAGCCGGTCCTCCTAGGGCAAGCACTGTTTGCAGCTGAAGGAACTGTCACCCATTTAAATGACCGCCCATGCTTCTATGTTAGCTTTTGTTTTCATGTTTAGTAAAGTTCACCCACATAGAACTTTTGAAACTGATTTAAACCGGCCCAAACCCAAGATTGTTCTGTCATTCTGTCGGGTTACTGCTGGAGAGCACCGAAGCTGAATACACATTTAGGGCTGTGGCATGGCCCAGGCATGGCTGAACTGAGAATAAGGAGGTATCTCAGGGGGCAAGACAGGCCACAGCTGAGGCCCCTGGAGACTTTCTGGATAGTTCTCCTTAATTAGCATCATCTGTTTCTCTGAGGGGTCCTGGGGCGCTTGCCCAAGATCCTGTTTAGGTTTTCTCCATTGTCCACTGAACTCCTCACCTGTTCTGATTAAATATGGGCTGCTCAGGGTCAGTGGGCCGGCCCGCTAGCAGACTTACAAGCTTTGCTGAGGATTTCACTCCTCCTGCAGCCCTAAAGACCAGGCCCTGTGTCTCAGTACTTTGGGCCTTCACCGTGAACCCGTTTGGGGGGTTGGGGGTCTACATGCAGACCCCAACAGGTGACTTAGTGTTAACTGTGCCCATAAGAATCTCATTATAATGCTAAATCCTCTGGGTTTATTTTTTTTTGTACCGGGGATCGAACTCATGACTTCGCACTTGTTAGGCAGGCACTGGTGCCGCTGAGCTAAATCTCCAGCCCTAAATCTTCTGCTTTGAAGCATGATCTGGAACTAGCGTGTGAGGAATGTGACTACTTATATATGTAATTGTTTTCCCATATAAATATGCCTGCCTCCCTAATGAAACCCAAGCCTCCTAGTTATTTCTGGTCATCTTGGGACCAGCAGGATGAAATGAAACTTTAAAGGCTAAGATTTTTTTCTTTTAGAGATAAGCCACTTCTCCATACTTCCTCAAGCCAAGGGCATAGCTATCTCCTTTGCGTTTCCTTCACCCAGAGCAGATACTGGCTCTAGGAAGCCAAATCCAGTTTCTCTCCCACCAGAGTGGGAAAACGAGACGGTTGTGGCAATACGAATCGCCTCTATCTCTCGGAAATAGCTTTAAATAAAGCGCTCTCTCTTCTCCCAAATAAATGCTCCCCCATATTTATCTGGGGAGTGGTGAGCACAGATCCCTGAGCAACCCGTAACTCTTAACTGTAGTGTTTCTCTCCACTCTTACTTTCCGATCAGGCTTAGTGGCTCTGTGCTCAACCACGGGAGCAGCTTACGGAGGCCGCTCACCAGGGCAGGTGCCCATAAGGTCACAAGGGATCGATCCTTCTTAGGAAACAGCCCGACGGTGCTCACAATAACTCGCTCAGAAGGAACGCAAATCAGAACGCAAGTGAAGCAAGGGCGCTTTCCCAAGAGGCCAGCGCAGTCCCTCGACTCCTATCTGTAACCCACGCTGGAGCGGAAGGATTCCAGGTACCCCGCGGGACGAAAATGAGTCCACGACCGCACCGCCTCCACATTCTCTTGCAAAACCCAGCTGCAAAAAAAAATTAACTCTTTGGCGCCCACGATTTTGACTAAATGCCCAGAGGTTAAACACAAGTTACACTCATCCAGAAACCAAACAGCACATGCGGCCGCACAGGTCACCGCTTCTCCCGCTTCCGGCCCTGGCCTAACGTCACGCGCCGCCGGAAGTGCGTCATCAACCGCGCCGGTGTCCGGCGTGTTCTCTCTGTACCATGGCGGAAGTGGGCCGGGCGCGGGTGTGCGACCCGGGCGAGCTTCTCCCTGAGGGTTTCTGGGCGGCCGTGGCAGTGTGGCTGGAGAGGCCTCAGGTGGCCAATAAGCGGTTGTGCGGCGCCCGCCTGGAGGCCCGCCGGAGAGCCACCTTGCCCCGAGCCGAGCCCCGCCATCTTAGGCGCGACGCGGTCCCGGATCAGGACTGGGGCGCGGCCTTATCCGGACCCCAGGACGGCCCGGCCCCCGGCCAGGAATACCCCGAGGGAGACCACGGCCCCAGACCGAGCGCGGGCCCCGAGCAGGAGCTAGGCGCGGCCTTATGCGGACCCCAGGAAGGAACGGGACCTGGCCAGGCTTCTGTCGAGGGGCATCCTGGTCCCGGGCCGGGATTAGGACCCGAGGGGGGCACAGCTTGTCGAAGACATGAAGACACCCAACGCCAACAAGGGAATGGGCAGAGGAAAGCAGCCGCAGCGCCTCTGCTTGCCGAGCGTCCGGGGCCGCCCTGTAGGGCTGGAGGCGGGGAGGAAAATGACCCCGCAGCAGAACTGGATTCGCTGTGGGACCGTTTTTCCCAAAGTCTCGTCTCCGGCTCTACGGAGATGTTGTCATTCCTCACGAGCTCCGGAGCAGGATCGCAGTCAGAGGCACCGCATGAACTCGACCTGGTCCTAAGAACTGTCATCCCGAAAAAGAGTCCACATTGCCTGGTTACAGCTCCGAGGAGAGAAATAGTCGTGCAGGGTAAGAACGTATTTGATAGTGGAAAGATGCAATTAGATTAAAACACACTGAGCGTCGGTAAACAGCCTCCAGAGGTATCTAGGAGGCCACTTCCTGTGTTATTTCTAGAGACGTAGGTTTTGGGTTTTTTTTGAGAGCGACACAGAAATATACTTTTTGTTCTTAGGACAGAGGGTGGGATAACTGACGTTAATGGTTGGTATCTGGAAGGCTTTAGGGAGAAAGGGAAGCGTGCTTAGTTATTGAATGATAAATAGGAGTTTAGCAGGTAAAGAGACAACTGAAAGACCGATGTGGAAGTGTGGCACTTGGCTGGCTGGGAGTGTACTAGTTTTATTATTCATTGCTTGTCAAATTTCAGACACTAGTTTTGAGCATCACTGACCTTGATTTTGGAGGTAGGACTTCACACAACCAAGCCTTAAGTTTTCATATAAACTGATACAGTGACATAATTCATTTTAGGAATAAGTACTGTGTGGGCGTTTTGATAAGCAGGTGAGTGCTGGGCCGCTGAGACAGGAGGATGCTGCAGGAGAGGGCTGCAGGGTTAGGAATGCCTGGAACATTGTACAGTGTCCTGCATCAGCCTCTTATGGTTGAGCAGTGTCTGTGATGCCTGCATCAGAAGATCAGGGTCTCTGGCAACAGGCAGCCAGGGCAGAGGCCACGTTCTCGCCAGACCCTCGATTTTCTGACCTATGAAGTGGCTCCTTCTTCCCTCAGCTGCTGGGGTGTGTGGCTGCTGAGAGGGCTGCAGCACACCTCCCTTCCTTTACGTGTTGGGCCACGGCAGTAAATAAGCACAGAGCGCACACTCCCCGCCCAGGAAGCTTCCGAGGGAAGGAAGCTTCCTGATGCCTTCTTCCTGTGTCTGTGGTGCTCCCAGGAGGTTCCCTAAGCAACTGTAACCTGTGGTCATTGTCTTTCGCCCCCAGATGTCCCCAGTGGAACCGTAACTTTCTTACCTCTGGAAGAAGACGATGAGGGGAATTTGGAGGTTAAGATGAGCCTTGTGTATCAAATTCAGCTCCGACCCAGCCAAGCAGAATGGTAAGACCCAGACAGCTGATTCCTGGTCCCTGCTGCATGGTCTCAATCCACTGAGTACCAGGAGAGGATGTCCATGGGGTCTCTGTGCCGGTTCTTGTAGCACTGGTCCTGTGTGTGGGGGTTGCAGCCTGGCTGGCATCCTTAGTCTCTGCATTGCACATGGCCGTGATGGGTAAGGGACCCAGGTTTGGCAGCAAGCTTAGTCCAGAACTAGTATTCTTTGCCATGTTTACAGCATGGCTATGGAACATGGCCTGAGTGCCAGCGGGCTTCTGGAAAGTGATCGAGTCTGACTTCATTGAGTGAATTATCCGGAGTGAGTGATTCCCAGGCGAATGGGCTGTCAGAGGCAAGCTGGGTGGAGGCAGTAGGGAGCTGGGTTTGTGCCCTCAGAGGATATATTTTGTCCCTGCCCCTTCTTCTCTGCCCTTGCCCCACCCCTTCCTGGCTGCCGTCCTGTGAGCAGCTGTCCTCCACCCACACCCTGCTACAAGACGTTTGGGAGCTGAAGCAGGCCTTTCCTCCTGGAAGTTGATTTTGTCACAGTGAAAGCAGGCTGACAGAGAGAAGCGCTTATGGAAGGGCGTCTGGCCCCTCGAGCCTGCGCCTGTGGTGTTTGGGCTTATGTAGAGAGTGGATATTTGGTAGACTTCTGCTTCATTCTCTTAAAGTAAGTCAGTGGAAGGGGGAGTCTGCTCCATGCTCCCCCATGGGTACTCTCCGGGACCATGGCTGGCTGGTCCCTTCTAGGACGTTCTTGGGTGTCCTGTCCTCTGCATTTGGCTGCCTGGAGAGCAGAGGTGTGAAGCAGCGGACCATGAGTTTGGAATTAAGACATCCTGGGTGTCCCCGCTAGCAGTATAGTCTTGGTTCAGCACGCTGCCTCCAAGACCCTCAATTTTCTGAGCTGTGAAGTGGGTCCAGTAATCATAGCCCAAGAGGACCAGCCAGGCCAGGCTTCTGAGAGGCTTGTTACAGGCTCAGAGCCCCAGGGAATGCATAGTCCCTAAGATCTGCACCCCTCAGAACTAACAAGGGTTGCCCCAAATTGTCAGGAGGACTTGCCTGAGGTCCCTGGTGTGCTCAGCTGTTCCCATACCTGGCCGTGTGCCTGTGCCTGAGCTGTCAGCGAGCCCCATGGGGACACCCGCTTGAGTGTGGCAACTTACCTGGTGTGCCTGGCCATGTGAATGCTCTAGATGAATTTGCCTGGTGGGCTCATGCTCAGTTCTTTTATAACCACTGAGGGCTTGGCTGCTGCCCGTCCCTCTGGGTTGGCATTCCTAGCATGACCTCCCGGGCGGCTCTCACTGCATCCAGTTGGGCGCCGGTCAAACCTGGAGGCCAGATGTCCTGCATTCTGGTGGGCCACAGCTGCAGTGGGCACCAGACCTTGTGTGCCCAGCATATGCCAGTTCAGGGGACACAGAAGGAGGTGCCCTGGCCCCAGCAAACATTGGTGAGAAAACCCAAATAAACCCAGTTTGGATCCAGGCCCTGCGTTAGAAATGGCTGCGAGTGCCTGGGGCGTGTTAGGCAGGTGGAAGGCCACACCCAGGGGGCAGCCTGAGAGAATGGGGTGCAGCCTGTGGGCCTCCGGAAAGAGCAGCATAGCCAGGGAGGAGAGGGGTGATGTCCCTCTGTCTGCTCTGCTGGCAGAAGCAAGTCCCGGCTCTCCTCAGGTTAACTGGCCATTCCCACTTGTCCCCAGCCAATCACAGCCTCTCCTGAATCTCCCTCTTCGTGTAGGCTTTCTTTCTCCCATTACACAAGCTTAGTGCCCCTCAGGGTGCTGCCCAAGTGCAGGCCTAGCACTGGGTACTGTTACCTGGGTGGGTTACCACCCCACAGGCCGCAGCTTTGTTCCTTTATTGAACACGGTGGGTGCACAGGGCCTCTGGGTGTCTGGCCCTGCCCGGAAGGAAGCTGAGTGGAGCAAAGCCACTGCGGACACCGTGCTTCCGGACCCCTGGCAAGGGCTTTGCCCAGAGCCTCATGCTTGCCAGGCCAGTGCTTCATCTGAGCTGTGTCCTGGCCTGGTTTGGGGATTTAAGTAAAATATTTTATTTTATTTTATTTATTTATTTATTTATTTATTTATTTTTTTTTTTTTGGTCTTTTTCCTTTTTATCAGTACCAGGGATCAAACTCACGACTGCCTGCTTGCAAGTCAGGCACTTATGCCGCTGAGCTAAACCTCCAGCCCCAGTAAAATATTTTATAACAGATGGTTCTGCTCTTTTTGGTAAATGAACAAGTAATTTAAGGCTAAAAGTCAAAAGCAGCCCTGCTTACTCATATTTCTCTTATCTTTAAAGGTTCATATCTGTTTTGATTTTCTGTCCAGAGAAGTGGCACTCGGATGGTGTGGTCCACCCCAGGCCTGCCTGGCTGGGCGGGGAGCTGCTGGGCAGGCTGGCCCGGTGGTGTGTGGCCAGCAGGAAGAGCGAGTTCCCGAGCACCCTCTCCCTCGTCTCCATCGAGAGGTACAGCGTGCTGTACCAGGAGCTCAAGGAGAAGTACAGAGACATGGTGAAGGTGAGCTGGTGGCCCTGGCGCCCTGCTCAGTGAGTGACAGGACCTGGCGCTGCATTGGGAATTGAGTCCCAGGCTCTGTTCATCTTGTCCAGATGCAGACTCGGAATCCAGACACAAAATTTATCAGGAGCTGGCACAGGCTGCAGACGCAGGACCTCAGGCACTTGCAGCATGCAGTGGACGGGTTTCTTTAGTGTTTTGAGGGATTCTTTTCAATAGATAAAGGAGATTTTAACTTAAAAAATGAGTTAGTTATTAGTTACCTATGCCTTTTATTATGAATTTAAAGATTTGTAAGCGTGAAAAACTAAAATCCAGAACTTTTTGTTCCTCCAAAAAGGAAGTAGATTTCATGATCTGTTTCAGTGGGCTCCCCAAATGCTGCTGGCCTGAAGCAGGAACCGCCTGGGAGGTTGTGGGTGGGTGGCTGCGGCTGGCTCTGTACTCTCTGCCTCTGGGCAGTGGTCTCCCCTGTGCTGCCCGCAGTGTGGCAGGCGGTTCATCCGAGTCAGGTCGTGCACTCCGCCGGAAACGGGTATCATGCTCCGCGTTGGTCTTAGCCTTCCTCTTCTGCCCATCTGCACAGTCATGGTTTTAGTGGTGAGGCTGTGCCTTACCCAGCTGGTGCAGCCTGGGAGGTGCCTTGGAGACCATCCCATTAGGCCTTGGTGTCACAGAGGACTGACAGGTGACTGTCACGCATGTGCAGCACCGTAATTCTATGTCTGTATAACTCATCATAATGGGTCAGTTTTCACTTTTGGAAGGAGCTTACAGTTTCTATCTTACTGTGTGATTACTTCAGTTTGGATTGTGTTTTTGGGGTGCTTAAGTCTTGGGAAGTAGTAGGAAGGCTGAGTAACCATTTGCATACTCAAAAACCTTCCAGGTGTGGCCAGAGGTAACTGACCCTGAAAAGTTCGTATATGAAGACGTGGCCATTGCTACCTACCTGCTGGTAAGAACGTGCGCAACGCCGACTCTGCGTGGAGTGTGTGGAGGTTGCTGCAGGCGGAGGCCGTTTATGGCTCCGTAGCCTGCCTGGGCACCCATGCCTGCCCACTAGTCAGGGTCCGAACTGTGCAGCTGAGCTGTGAGGATGCAGGTTGGGCTGTGAAGGCAGACGGCCACTGAGAGGAACAGGTGGCATGGCCTCAGCGAGTCCATCCCTGGACCCACAGCCACTCACAGCCCGAGGAGCTGGGCTGTGACCTTTACCTGAGCACGTGGTCTTGACTGTCTTACTTAGCGGATGTTTGAGCTAGGTAGTTTCTGGTTTCCCTTCACTTTGGAGTCTCTTAGATGGATTAGAAGTAGTGTGCTCATGATTACCAGGGTATGCACAGCTTGCACAATGTGGAGAACACACGCAGAAGCTGTCCTGTCTAGAAGCCCTGCCCACAGATAGCCACTGAGGTGTGCACTTTCTCTTGTGTCGGTGGGGCTGGAGTAGACTGTGGCGGTGGGGCGGCCTTGGAGAGCAGGTGTTCTCATTTAGGCTGCACCCCAACCCTGGATGTGGACCCTGGTGAACAAATTACCTTGGGTGCCCGGCAGTGGCTGGGCCAGCGCCCTCTAGGCAGAGGCCAAGTCTGCTGGAGTCATCTGCCAGGAGGCTGCTCCGCCTTCCCCAGGAGCACAGTCTAGCAGCTGGGTGGGGACCGTATCTGGGTCTCCCTGGGCTGGGTGGATTCCCCAGGGGCTCTGCCATGCCTTTCCCTGTCCTCAGATCCTGTGGGAAGAGGAGCGAGAAGAGAGGGGTGTGTGCGCCAGGCAGTCCTTTGTGGATTTGGGGTGCGGGAACGGCCTCCTGGTCCATATCCTGTGCAGCGAAGGGGTGAGCAGGGCTCAGCTGGCCGGGCGGCAGGAGTGGCATATGCAGCTGTGGGCGCATGAGCAGGTGTGGGGGTGCTGCTGCAGCTTGTGAGGAGCCAGTCGCCTGTGGGCCTCTGGAAACTGGGTGTGGGCAGGGCTGGAGATGCCTGCACCCCTCCTTCCTCCGTGGAGAGAAGTAGGGTCTCTGGGAGACCTGCAGCGTTGGGGGCAGGTCCTGGGAGGCCAGAGGTGCCCAGAGACTGACACACTGGGAGCGGAGAGCTGTCTTGGTTCTCATGGACTCCCTTGCCGCTGTCCTGGATCAAGGCCACTGTGGTCCCTTGAAGACTCTCGGTGACTTCCCTTTGAGAGTCGGACAGCTCCTGCTGTCCCCAAATGCCAGGTCTCTTGCGCCCCCTGCTGGCTGCAGAGCTTCCCCTGGGTCCTGCTGCTGTGTGGTGACACATTGAATTTAACCTGTGACCTCTTAACCTGTCTTTCAGCACCCAGGCAGAGGTATCGATGTCCGAAGAAGAAAAATCTGGGACATGTACGGGCCCCACACTCAGCTAGAGGTACTTGAGGCGCCTTGTGTGCACCTGTGAGGATGCTTGTCTCCGTGGTCAGCGTGACCCACTCAGCTCGCATGGCCACCTGTTCTGAGGACTGAGCTCAGACAGGGAGGTGGTGCTGCAGGTGGCCTGGCCCTGAGGCAGCCTGGCCCTCAGGCTCACGATCCCATCTTACTTTGTGCCACTTGCTCCCTAAGGAAGACGCGATCGCTCCAAGTGACCGGACCCTCTTCCCTGATGTGGATTGGCTGATCGGTAACCATTCCGATGAGCTCACACCCTGGATCCCGGTGCTGGCAGCCAGGTGAGGAGAGGGGGTGCCAGGAAAGCGTGGGGCATCCTGTGCATCACCTGCTGTCCACGCCACAGCCACCCAGGAAGCGGGGCAAGGTCACACTGTTGACGTGTTTTACTGGGCTAAGTTTTCAGGAAACTCCATCTGTTTTAGTTTTTAGAGGATAGAGGATAGTTGGCCCCACCTCTGAGTTTTAGGGTCATAACTGAAACCTCAGACTACTTCAGAAATTCAGGTCACAGTTTACAAGACTGGCTGTGGGGAGAGTTTTGCCTTGTAGATAACTAGGCTCCTGTTAGTGTAAGGTGCTGCCCCACCGCCTTTGAGCCTCGGCCGGGAGGCTGGGGTTCACCTCTCGTGGTGCAGCCGGGGCGGCCTCCTGGTGCCCCGCCTGCCGCAGCCTGTGTGCTCGGACCGCCCAGGTCTTCCTACCGCTGCCGGTTCTTTGTGCTGCCCTGCTGTTTCTTCGATTTCGTGGGCCGCTACCACCGCAGGCAGAGCAGGAAGACACAGTACCGCGAGTACCTGGACTTCGTCCGAGAGGTGGGCCAGGCCTGTGGCTTCCTCGTGCAGGAGGACTGCCTCCGGATCCCCTCGACCAAGCGGGTACGGCGCCTGGGGCGTCGGCAGCTGGGCAGGTCGGGACCGGCACAGATTCACTTCGGGTCTGCGCCTGCTGTCCCCTGCTGTCACTGGGGACTGTTGCGGGTCACTGGGTCTCTGAGCTCCGCATTCTCACATCTGGGAGGCTTGTGGACCTGGGGCAGAGTGGGCTGAGCATGGCACATGCAGCAAGTGTCTGCTGGGGCCACCATGTGCCAGGCACTGCTCTGCTCCTGACGTGGCGGGGCTGAGGTCACTTGGAGAGGGTGGCGAGCGGCTCTGATACAGATTGGCTCTTTGCTCACCTGCTCCCTGTCTCTGTGGCTGACGGATGCCCAGGTAGGGCTCCCTGGCAGCACTTTGGGGACAGAGGAGAGTAGTACCAGGTACCCACAGGTGCCTGGGTCCCTCGCTATGGCAGAGTTGACACAGAGCCCGTTCTCTCACGGCCCCCGCTGTCTTCCCAAGAGCCTCTGAGGTGGTACCGTGCTGCGCCTGGGCAGTGGAAGGGAACATGGGGATGTGTTCAGAGCAGTGCCACCCCTCTGCTCAGTGATGTGAACCCCTACTCAGCACCCCTCAGGAGAGCTGTGAGGCCGGCCTGCCATGAGAGCAGAACGGGCTTTTCCTGCTCGCTGTTGTAGGGCTGCAGGGGAGCACAACTGTGCTCCACAGAGGTTGCTTGCCTCGCAGGCCAGGCCAGGCTCCACCTCAGCACTGAGAACGGCTTTTGGTAACAGATAGCGTAGCTTTTGTGTGATCTTTCTCCAGAACAGGAGAGTTCTGCGGAGTGCGACAGCTTGTGCGAGCCAGCTAAGACGCTTGCTCTGTGCAAACGCAGGTCTGCCTCATCGGGAAGGCCAGACTGTACCCGCCTGCCTCGGAAGCCAGTGTGGACCAGCGCAGGATTCAGTACATTCACAGCAGGAGGGGCCTGTCCGGCGGGGAGCCCCCCTGTCCAGCACTTCAAGCTGCTGCCTGTGATGCTGCTCACCCAGATCGTGACAGAGCCCTGGGCACCGGGGCTCAGGATGACCTCGGGGACCTAGTTCCTGAGCATGGGCCCGAGGCCCAGGCCGGGGGATCCTGGGTGCCAGGATTCCACCCTCGAGAGAAGGTGGAACGTGTGCGGAACTGTGCTGCCCTCCCTCGAGACTTTACTGAGCGCGTGGTGCTGCAGGTGGCGAGCTTACTGTTAGGTGGAGAGAAGCCAAAGCCAGGAAGCCCTCGGGAGGGGACCCAGAAGGCCTGGAATGGAGGAGGTAAGCCACCCAGTGCCCGGCTGTGTCCCCAGTGATGCACTGGGGCCTTCTGTGACCCCATGCTGGAGGCTGGGAGAGTGGCCTGAGGGACGCGGTGCTGGACAGGGAGCACAGGCGGCCAGGCTGCTCACTTTGTGTAGATATTGCCAGCTGACCCTTGGGACAGGAGAACACCCTTCCCCCTCGAACAGATGGCCGGAATTTGCAAAGTTTATAATTTGACAATGTACTTCTCCACGGAATAGCCAAAAAGCAAGGATCTGTTTTGATAAGGGAACAATTGCATCTGATTGTTCTCACGGCAACGAGTGCACTTCAAGGCATGCGGGAGGTGTGGGCTTGGCCGCCAGAGGGCGCCTCAGACCCACTGCAGTTTGCAGCTGGGGACTGGAGGACCTCAAAGAGTGCAGAGGTAGCCCCGGGCCGGGGCAGAGGTTCCTTCTCCCCCAGGTTCACGGCCCTCATCTGTGACTGCGGGGTCCATTGTCCTCCTCCTCTCACCCTGTCTTATCTCACACACTCGTGAGGGCAGAACCCTGTGCGTGCCCCCAGGAATAACCCAGAGTGCGGTGGCCCTCGCCCAGCATGGAGGTCAGGCTGTGGAGGGAGGGCGGGCGGGGATACCACCCCTGGAGGTCTGGTCCTGAGTGACCTCACTGTCACCAGGCTTTCCGAGTAAAGAAAAAGCGGAAGTCTCAGGTGATGGAGGCATCCCTGGGCTGCTGTCCTGCCGCACTGCATGCCCGGGCCCTGTGCCTGCATCCCTGCATCCCTGGCTGTCTGGAGCAGCCGCTGCCCCTGTGGGTAGCCCTGACTGGGCCTGCAGCGTGGTGAGCTGTGGACTCATCAGTGATTCCGGGCCGGCTGCTGAGAGTGCTGGGGCCTAAGTGCTTCGAGGTGGGCTAGGCTCTGTCGGGCTAGGCGGCGCTGCCTGGTCTAGGTTCATGATCCTTTCCTCAGGGAGCCTGGCCTTGGCAGAAGTGGCCCAGCAGCTGGACAGCGCAACCCTGCATAGGCTGAAGCGGGAGTGCGGAGGCCTCCAGACGCTGCTGCGCAACAGCCACCAGGTGTTCGAAGGTGAGTGCATTACCTGGTGCCTATGCATGCTTTGGCCTCTTCCTCTCTCCCCCGCTACGCAAAGCACAGACCTTCAAGGAGTCCAGACCTTTAGGAGGACCTGGGAAGGGGCACAGTCCCCATGGCCACCCCAGCCTCATCACTCAGGGGCCATGACCACTCTGTCCTCTTGGACTCTCAGCCCCTGATCCTGCCCACACCCAACTGATGCCAGCTCTGATCCACGATGCATCCCCTCCTCGTGGAGCAGGTGCAGGTCACAAAGCCTGCTGGTAGCATCTCCTGCTACCTGAGAACTTGCCTGGGCTTTAGTCACCTGCAAAGGTGCACCCGAGCCACATCGCCGTGGGGCTGGGATGTGAGCCCGTCCCAGTCTGCAGCTGGGGAAACCCATGTGGAGTGAGGCAGAGCCCTGGGATTCTGGGACTGCTGTGCAGGGTGGGAGGACTGTCCCTGTGCAGTCACCGAGCCCATGCAGGCCCCAGAGCTGCTGAGTCTGCAAAGCTCTGTGATTCTGTGTGCTTTCCAGTGGCACCCAGGTGGCCCGGGCTCCAGGGTTTGTGTCCTCTCGCCCTCGCCGTGGTTACTCATGGGAGCTCGTTTCCCCGCTCCAGGGGGATTGTGTATTTTAACACAGACCCCCGAGCTCACTCTGTGTACTTCCGATGCATCTTTAGAATCCATGCCTTCTCATGTCTTCCCGTGCCACCACTGCCTTGAGCCTGAGTCACTGTGTGCAGGGAGGTGCAGCCCGGTCCAGCTGGTGCTCAGGAGGCCTTGACCGGTGCAGTGATGCTTGGGCCTGGGCTGTAGAACAGGCTGGGGCCACTGCTGAGGCCAGTGAGGATGGGACCTCTCCTAGTGTGTGGGGAGGGAGAGGATGGCTGCCCAGGGGCCCTGCCGTGCCGCCAGCCCCCATGGTGAGAGGAGGGTGCAGACTGCAGTGCTGGGCCTGCTTCTGCCCGCGGCATCTCCTTGGCAGGCTGCACGCAGTCCCTCGATCCACCTGTCTGCGTGCCGGGGTGCAGAAAAGGTGGGTCCCCCTCTCTGTCCCTGGAGAGCCAGGGACCGAGGCCTGGCTGGGGACCAGGTGACAGAGTGCAGCTCAGCCCCTCACCCCACAGACCCGAGGGGGTGCACGTGCTGCCACTGCACCTCTTCCCTGTCCTGTGAGCCCAGGGCCATGTGGGTGTGCACACGTGCTGTGTGTGTGTATGAGTGCGTGCATAGGCCACGAAGGCGTGGCCTGTGTGAGTGTGCACAGGAGACAGGTGTGCTCTCACACTGCCTTTGCAGCCTGGCCACCCTCTCAGTGGCCTTAGCCCTGTGTCCCCTGCCTTCTGGGAGAGCACTGTGGGGTCTGGTGACCTACAAGTGTGGCCTGAGCCCTGCATCTGGGGGCAGGCAGAGGCCGTCAGGGCAGCTGCTGAGCTGGGTGGTGGTGCCTGGAATGCACGCCACCTCCTCCCACAGAGCCTTAATCAGTTCAAGGGCCCAAGGGAGCATCTCCTTTCTGTTTTCCCAGCACATTTTTGTCTTTGATTTCGAGAAGAACGGCTTTGCTTCCCAGTAAAAACACACGTATGCGTAATTGCTTTCCTCGCGGTGCATGCCGGGGCAGAAGTGTCCTTGGAGCCGCTTCTCCATGGGAGGGCCGGGGACCAGAAGCCAAGTAAACACTCTGCTTCCAGTCATGTGGGAAGTATGTCCCGAGCTGGGCTTATCTCTGGCCGGCCGGGGTTTGTGTTTTAAACTCATGGGGCTGTTCCCGAGGAGTGCTGACAGGGCAGCCAGGACTGGATGCCTTCGAGCCGCGGAGCGCATGGTGTCAGCCCACGAGGACAGGGCCTGCACGGGGCCCTGCCTGGCGGGTGCCTGCACTCAGCCCAGTGGGAGGAACGCGGGCCCAGAGTCTTGGGGAATGCACCTGGTCTGGGGCTCCTGGGGGTGCTGGCGACACTGCCCTGGGGATGGGCTGGGCGTTGCATATGTCATGTCAGCATGAGGAACAACGCAGCAGCGAGTCTGGAGCCTGACCCTGCGATCCCAGTTTCAAATGAGCAGGACCGCAGGTGTCCCCACTCTGGCACCTGGCAGCTTCTGCCTAGGATGTTGGGGGTTAGGAAGGGCTGGCAGCGAGCCACCCCGCATTCTGGAGTGTAGATGGGTTGGCAGTACTACCTGAGCACCTGGCCACTGCCCTTTCAGGGTCCCCCTGTCCTATGTTTTCTTTCCACTGCCAGGCCAAAAGGTCCCCCTAGCCCTTTTTCCCTGGAGCCCCCAGGCCCCCCAGAGTCTGAGCAGGAGTCTGGTCTCCTGGTCTGTGGAGGGCCTGCTGCCACCGCCCTGTGGAGAGGGCTATGCCATGTCTGAGAGATGCTTGACCCTGAGGCTCCCCTGGAACATGGGTTGGAGCCTTGGCTCTGATAAGCACTCTGTGCCCTGGCGCACTGCAAGCATGTCTGGCAGGGTGACCTGCAGCTACCGCCTGGGGTCAGCTTAGGGAAGACAGGCTCTGGTTGGCAGGGAGGCGCCTCTCTCTCTGGCTCCTTTTTTTGTTTGGAGGGGAGAGATGGAGCCATCCGCAGCTCTGCTGGCCACTGTCCAGGGCACAGTGGCTGCCGGGGACAGACAGGCAGGGAGTCCTCATCTTGTACCTTCCTGGGGGAAGCCGGGCGGGCTCACTTGCCGTGGGCGCCTTTCCCCAGCACTGTGGGCTTCGCAGCAGGGGGCCTTGGCTGACATGGGGGTCTCTGTGGCCAGAGCTGCCTGCCCTGCTCCCCAGCCCCCAACCAGTGCTCAATTCCCCGTGCACTGCCCTGTTCTGCCTCTGGCTGGTGTTGTCAATAAGTCATGGTAGTTCCCTCCATCGGGGGCTCTGTCCCCATGTCCCTGCTGTGTGTCAGGTGGGCCACGGTGACCCCCTCCACCTCCCCATTCGCCTTTGATGATGAGATGTCAAGACCAGCACCCAGCACCGGGGTCCTGCTTGTGGGCCCCACGCTGGCCTCTGCCAGCATGGTGGTCTCAGGTCCGCCAGCTCGCCTGGAGGGGCCAGGGCCATGGGTGAGCAGTCTTGTCCCCTGCTCTCCTCAGGTTAGCGGCTCCACAGGGGACCCTGGGCCTGCTGCAGGGCCTCCTTCCACACCTCCCGAGGGTCCCACTCACCCAGCCCCCCAGCCCTTCCACTGATCCTTCGGGTCCCTCTAGTGCAGGTTCTCTGTTGTGGGCCTGGCACTGCCTGCGTTAGCCCCCACACGGTAAGTGTGTGAGGAAGTCATGTTAGTGGCATTGGGGCGATGTCCTGGCCCTGTCTCCCTGTTCTGTGCCTCAGTTCTGGACGGCAGAGTCCGCATCCGCGACTGGCGGCAGGAGCTGCAGAGGAAGAAGCACTCAGCGGCCATGCAGGGGCCCAGCTCGGAGGCCTTCAAGACCCGTGCCTGCTGGTTCTTCATGCACCATCCTGATGGCTGTGTGCTACCCTCCGCCAGCTGCCCGTTTGCCCATGGGCCCCAGGAACTGCGGCCACCCCGGCCCCTCAAGAAGAGGCAGGCACCCTGAGCCTCCACAGAACCAAGGCCTGCAGGAGCCAGAGGCGTGGGCGCCTAGGGCTGGGCAGCGTGGGCTCAGCCTGCTTCCCAAGATGCTAGAACAGATCGCAGGACCCTGCTGCCTCCAGCCCCCTCAGCCTCGCCAGGAATGCGGGGCTCTGTGCTGCTGTTGTCCCCGAGTCCCAGAGAGCAGGACAGAGCTGCAGCTCCCCATGGGGCTGCTTGTGGCACAGAGTTGAGTTTCTGGCCCTGCCTCCTGCCCGCTGACCATGGCCAGAGGTGTGACAGGTCTATTGGCTCCTTCCAGAGGGGAGCACCGTGCATTTCCATTTAAAATCATTTCTGCAGTTATGCTCAAGAGCTCACACTCATTCCACACTGCTCGCCGGCTCCACAGGTGCTGCGTCCCCAGTGAGGGCAGGCCCTTTGTCTCTGGGCTGGAGAATCAGCTCCCTAGAGACACTGTGAGCTCCTTGCGCGCCCTGAGCAGCCCCCAGGGGTGGCAGAGACCGCCCTGTTGTGGGGGGGGGGGCTTCATCTGTGCCCAGCCACAGGAAAAAAAGAGCTGCCACAGAAAAAAAGTGGACTCCTGTACCCATCCAGCAGGCTACCCCTCAGCTGGCCTCTGACACAAGCCCCTACCCTTGGCGCTTAGTCCCTGTGGAGGAGGTGCTAAGGCCAGAGAGGCTCTGAGGCTGTTGGCACATGCTTGTCTGGCATGCAGCAGGCTGGGTGTCACTCCCAGCACTGCACACTGGAAACCCACCAGGCTTCTCAGCCACAGAAGCCTGCCCCGCTTCCACCATGGATTACCATGCAGTGTAGTGAACCACACAGCTCTGCCCCTGGGGTTCCCTGGGTCCCTCCAGAGCTGCTCCCTGGATTCACTGTGCTCCGCAGCAACCACGGGGCCCCAGTGCCCTCAGCCCCACCCACCTGCCGCCTCAGCTCCAGCTGGCAGCTCAGACATTCCTGTCACCTGCTGTGGGCCTGGGCCCCCAGAGCTCTGGGTGGGACAGAGACTGCACAGGCACACGTGGGCTGTGGCATTGTGGGTGCTGCACACTGGCGCCTGCAGGAGCCTCAGTGGGGTGTGCTGCTGGTGCGTGTGAGGGCCACCTCAAGCTTTTGGCCTTTGGGTGCCCGAGCTCAGCCGTCTCCATTCCGGTGTTAAACAGACTCGCGCTGGAACAAACTCCCCGAAGCCCAGTGCACTTTGCCCCTGGCAGTGTGAACCAGCAAAGCCAGTGCTGCCCACCTGGGCCCACCCCTGCCCCCCTGCTCTAACACTGCCTGCAAGAGGCTGGCCAGATCCTCCCTGTCCAGGGGAGGCCGCGGCTTGGTGCTGTCTTGCAGGCCGGGCCACTTGGAGCGAGGCTCCAGCCTTCTCCAAAATGGAAGTGGTGACCTAGTCGTGCCTGTGCCTCTGGGCGGGGCTGTGCTGGGGACATGGAGGTGGCCTTCCCTCACAGAGAGAAGCCCAGGCCCTCTCCAGGCTTGGCTTTCTGGCTTTGCCCACACCTGTCCTCAGGCTCAGAGTGCATTCGGGTCCACCCTGCTGTCCAGTGGGCCGGGGCTATAGGGCCGTGTCCTGAGTCTGCTCTGTGTGCTGCTGGGCTACAGACCGGGCTCCAGAACGGAGGCTGCTGGCACTGCCCAGGGTGTCCAGGGCTGCCATACCCACCTGCCCACTCTGACCTTCCAAACATGAATTCCGGAATCAGGTTCCAAAGGCTAGCTTTGTGTTCCTGCTAGAGGATGTGGGCCAGGCCGAAGACCTCGGCAGCCTCAGTGTCCTAGGTGAGGACAGGGTGGCACGGAAGGTGTGGTGAGTGAGGGCTGCTGGGTCTAGCTCCTGCCCTGCGGGCATTGGGATTTCACAGAGGCTGGAGGGGCTGCCTCTGCTGCATGCTGGGAGGCAAGTGACCCTTGGCGCTGGGATGAAAAGTCCAGGTGAGTCACTCCCTGAGCTGCACTAACCTGTGGCACCCAAGCTGGAGCACAGCTGGGGCCAGGCGGCAGCCAAGGAAAGGGTTTTGCAGGGAGGCCTGGTGCTCCAGTGATGTCGGCCTCCTGGCACCACAGGCACTGGGCTGTCACCATGCACCCTGGGGCTGCCTCTGGTGACACCACCAGGGCTGGGTGGTGGTCACTTCAGCAGCTGAGCTGAGGCAGAGACATCCAAACCAGAGCCAGCGCCTCCTTCCTAGTGTTCCCAGCTGCTCCTGGAGTCCACTGAGAGTAAAGCCGGCCCTGCCCATACTGGGCAGAGGCAAGACCTTGCACAGAGCCAGATGACTGTGCAGCCAGGGCGCGGCGCCATCCCCGCCCCCTTGACCTAATTTAGCCTTGGGCTTTGGCTCTACAGATGGACGCTGGGATCCCTGTGTGACCTGGCAGGTCTCTTCCCTTCCTGCTGGGTAGCACGCTGGCCAAGTGCTGCGTGTGCACTTCCCGGCGGGGCGGGACGGGCCATGTGGGAAGGAGGCGCCAGCGAGCTGGGCAACTCTGCAGGGGCCCAGCCTCAGGGTAAGCACTGCTCACTGGCTGCCCAGCTGTCCCCCTGCCCTGGGCCCTCGGGGGACCTCTGGTGAGTGGAGGCTGCTGGAGCTGCCTCACTGGGCCCTCTGAGACAGCCAGGTGGATACTGCTCAGCCCAGCCAGGGAAGATGGTGTCCCTCCCTCCAGAACCCGGCCTGCACAGGACTGTAGCTGGCTGTGGCAGGCGGCACCTGACAGCCGTGATCGTGCCAGCGTCCTGTCAGCCCCAAAGGGCTGGGGTGCAGCACTGCCTTCTTGGAGCAGTTCAACTCCAGTGCCAGCCTGCCAGGCACAGCAGGATCACTGTCCTCGGGCAGAGTGAAGGGAGAGGCATTCAGGGCTGGGCGACTGCCCAGGGTTTCTGGGCAGTGACTGACCCTGCTGAGGGTGCTGGATCTGGAGAACATGGGAGCCCTTGTGAGGGGGCACCAGCCTGGGCGCTGGGACCATCTGCTTCCCACCTTCTCCAGTTTCTCTCTCCTCCTCTCTTCAGCGCATGCAGGGAGTATGGCGCTGGTATCCGGATTTGTGCCCGTCCAGAATCCGGAGCAGCAGGGTTATGAGGAGGGGTGGAGGCGGGGTGCGCCCCAAACACCGAGGTTCTGGGGCTGACAGTGGAGACAGGTGCTGGGAGAGGCCCTCTTGGTCTGTCACATTGGGGACCCGGCCCCTCCTCACCAGTACCTCGGCTCTCCACTTGATTCTTCCCAGGATTCTGGTCACAGAATTCAGCTCCCTGCAGAGCTGAGGCACCAAGGCGGAGAGTGAGAGCCACGTTAGCAATGCTGGTGAACAGGCAGCACCGTGGTGCATGCCTGTGCTCCCAGCTTTTTGGGGAGCTGAGGCAGGATGCGTGCAAGCTCCAGGGCAGCCTGGGTAGCTTAGGAAGAGCATGTCCCAGTGAGAGAGAGACAGAGAGAGACCAAGAAACAGAGAGGAAAGAGCAAGAGTGCCAGTGGTGGCGCTCGCCTGTAATCCCAGCACTCAGGAGGCAGAGGCAGGAGAACCACTGCAAGTTCAGGCTAGCCTGGGCTGCACGGTGAGAGCCTGTCTCAAAAATAAATAAGTAAAATAAATTTAAAAAGAAAAAGTGCCAGTGGTTGGTTTGCAGACTCCTGTGGACCGAGATCAGGGGCAGGGCTATGGGGACTGGCCCGTGGGGCAGAGGCGTCCTCTGGGGAGGGGACTCCAGTGGCGTCAGAACCTGCTCTGAGAACCGGGGAGCCGGGTGCACAACTCTTCATGCCCAGGCTCAGAGGACTTGGCCCTCGTTAGGAGCCCGATGGGCGGGAGCAGGAGCAGGCAGGATGTGACCACGGCTGCCTCTGTGGGGAGTTCGGGCTACCAAGGGAGTCCCCATGTGGAGCCTTCATCCCCACCTGTGAGTGACGCAGCCGGTGGGTGACTCAGGGCTGCCCAGTCCTGCTCAGTATGACACACGCAGCTTCCTGTTCTCATCCTGCCCCACACTGTTTACCCTGAGCTTCACCGAAGGTTTACTGTCCATGTGACCGTCCATCGGCCAGCCTTCCTCCTGCCTGTCCTTCCACCCATCTGGATGGATCCATGTGTCCGTCCATTTGCCCACCCACCCGCCCATCCGCCCACCCAGCTGGCCCTCTGCTCGTCCATTCGCTCACAGATCCATCCGTCCGTCCACGCAGCCCTGCCTCCTCCGACCATCCTGGCCAGGGCACGTGGAGCACGCAGGGTGATGCTTGTCATAACGTGTGCACCTGGTTAGCAGGAAAGAGTTTGTTAGAGGCTCAGCCCTCTGCTGTCAGCACAGGGGCCGCTGGAGCTGGGATGGAACCGTCTGGAGCCCTCTGGCCTTGGCAGCAGGCCTTCCTGCAGACACCTCACCCAGCATCACCCCCGGCGTGCGGGAGAAGCAGGAGGACCATGGAGACCTGGCCTCACAGCCGCCCCCTCTGTGCCGGCTGCTGCCTCCCAGGATCCAGACGCCCTTTGTCCTCTGCTGCTGAGCCCTCCCAAAGCCAGTGTAGCTCTGGAACCCAGCTCCCTGGAGCCTCAGAAAGGGGAGTGGCCCTGTCCTGTTTTGTGTCTCCCTGTCCTGAAAGGACGTAGCATAGGGTGTCTTGTTCCTTGTTGGGGCTGGCAGGGGCCTGGAATGGCATGATGTCACCCACAGCCCTTGTTCATGTCTGTCTCCTCCCCTGCAGTCCTGCCCAGGGCCATGGTCAGCTCCCTAGACAGCCACTGGGCAATGCAATCTTCAGAGTGGACAGCGACTTATCCCTGCCCACCTTGTGACATGTGGGTCACTCTTCTGAGATGCCTCCCATCCTCCTGCTCCATCCCGACCTCACCTCTCCTGTGACACTTCTGTCAAAGAACCTGGCCACTGGCAGGATCATCATGTTCTCTGCCCTGGACACATGGACTGGTACGCGGCCCGGTTGCATGCAGCCTTGTGCTGGGTCCAGGTGTCTTAGGGCACTGGGTCTGTTTTCCCACCTGTCCCGCTGCACCATGGAACTTAGCCCAGTGCCTCAGCCCACAGTAGGGGACAGCCCCCAGTGCCCCTGTTCTTTTGGGTGGCCAGGAGCTGCTCACACTCATCTCTGCAGGTGGCCCAGCTCTCCCCACTACTTGGGGAACTGAGGGGGTTCAGAAGTCCCTCTGGAAGGGTTTCTTTCCTTCCTCCAGAAGACTCTAAGAGCCAGCCCTGAGGAGGAGACCGTGGGCTGTGCTTTTCATCTCCGATGCTGGCGAGATGAGTCTAGCTCCGGGGTGTGGCGTGGTCAGCTGTGTAGCTTCCTCCAGGGAGGCTGCCTGGCTCCACTGGA